AACACCAGTATCATAGACACTGAGAGCAACACTAAATAAATGGGACCTCCTGAAACTGAGAAGCTTCTGTAAAGCAAAGGACACAGTCAATAAGACAAAAAGACAGCCAAAGAATGGATAAATAAAATGTGGTACATATACACAATGAAGTAGTACTCAGTGATATGAAAACAATGACATCTTGAAATTTGCATGCAAATGAATGGAACTAGAAAAAAACAACATCATGAGAGAGATAACCCAGACCCAGAAAGATGAACATGGTCTATACTCACTCATAAGTGGATACTAGCTGTAAAGCAAAGGATAACGAGCCTATGGACCATGAACTTAGAGAAGCTAAGTAACAAGGTGAACCCTAAGAAAAACATATATAGAACCACCTGAAAAGGGGAAATAAACAAGATCTCTTGACAAAATTGGGAGCATATGGGTCAGGAAGAGAAAGGAGGGAAGAAGGGGAAGAGGAGGGGAGAAGGAGAGGGAGGAGGAGAACTTGAGGGAATAGTTGAGATGGAGGAGGGACAGAGATGGAGAGCAAGGAAAGAGAAATATACTGATTGAGGGAGCCACTGTAGAGATGGCAAGAAAACTGGTCCCAGAGAAATTCCCAGGAATCCACAGGATGACCCCAACTAAGACCCTAAGCAATAGGGGAGAGGGTGCCCAAACTGGCCTTTCCCTATAGTCAGATTGATGAATATATTAAATGTCACCATAGAAGCTTCATTTAACAATTGATGGAAATAGAGGCAGAGTCCTATAGTGGAGCACTGACCTGAGCTCCCAAAGTCCAATTGAAGAGTGGGAGGAGTGAAAATATGAGCAAAGAGGTCAATACAAAGATGGGGACACGCACTGAAACAGTTTACCTGAGTTAATGGAAGCTCACCAACTCCAGCTGGACAGAGAAGTAATAAGCATTGAACCAAACTAGTCCCTCTGAATGTGGCTGACAGTTGTATGGCTGGGGCAGACTGCAGGGCCACTGGCAGTGGCACCAGGACTTATCCTTACTGCTTGTATTGACTTTGTGGAACCCATTCTCTTTAGATAGATACTTTGCTCAGTCTAGATACAGTAGGGAGGGCCTCAGACCTTCCCCAAAGCAATGTGCCTTATCCTCTCTGAGGAGTGGATGGCTGGGGAGGTGGAGGGAATGGGAGGAGAAGAGGGAGTGAGAAATGGGTTTGATATGTAAAATGAAAGAAAGATAGTTTCTTTTCTTTTAAAAAAATAAAAATAAATTAATAAAAGCTGGGTGATAGGAAAGCACACTATGATAAGAAAAAAACCACTTACATTTGCCTAAATTGTCCAAAAAATAGCATGATCCCAAAAACGAGATTTTTATCATACATAATTTATTTTATTCAGTATAATCACTGTAGATTGTCTTTAACCCTGGGAAATATGGACCTGTAGTTGCTGCCATTGCTGAGCATTGAGACAGAGGGTAATATTACCAATTCAGAAAAATCTCAAATTTTAATAAATATTTTCCACATAAGGTATATCAACTTTATACACTTGTAGAGCAGAAAAACTGTAGAGCTAAAAAGAGAGTATATATGTCTAACCATCACAAATCAGAGACCATCAACAAGTAGATATACACTAAACAAACAAAATTCAACAAGTGAAAGAATTTCAACTCTACTTTTGATATGAATATAATCTCATAATTCAAGTGTGGCTATAGGCATGCAATAAAAAATATTGTTTTGTTTGGCAACCATTTGATAAAGATAACATCTGTTATCACCTTCATCATAATAAATACAGTTTAATTATACATTATAAAATATATACTAATGTAGTAACTCTCCATGTCTAAGCCAAAAAAAAGAGAACTTTTGAAGGGATGGAAAAATGGTTCTATAAGTTAATAGATACTCATCTATAAGAGTCAAGCTTGTAGTCATGTTATTTAGATTTTCTAGAGGTATAGAGATATTTTTCAGTTAGATAGATACTCTTCAAATCTATCAGAGACCTTCACAATATGGCATTTTAAATGTTTTAATAACTTAGGACTTTTCATGACAGTGAGACACATCTTCTCCTGGAAGCACATGCTACTTCAAGAGGAAGATGGGCGTTGAAGAGGGTTCTTATGGATTTGATTAGTCATTTGGGCAAGAAACTGCTCCTGCCTGAACTGCTGAACTGGTCATACAGGACCCAGAAAGAAATGACTGCTGAACTTGCCTAAAGGTGAGATGATCCTTTGGGGTTCCTGCTTCATGAAAGAGTGCAGAACACAAAAGAAAACTACAGACAAACTGCCAATATACGCGGAACTGTCTTTGAAATTTCCGGCTTCATGGGAAGGACTGCTGGATACTATGGGTCAGTAGACTGAACATGGATGCCCCAGTGGTACAGAAAAACTTTGGGTGACTGTCCAGGCAGAGAAATGTCTCTGTCAATTTCAGAGTTTTAGAATTTGCTTACAATGTACTTTCTGTTTACTTAGGTAATACTATATCCTTCTACAGTATTTGATGGATTTGAAGAATTTATAGTTATAGTTTTCTTTAGTTATGATAAAAGATAAAGTAGATATAAATATTGTAACTGTAATTCTTGTGTGATACTTGTTTTGTTATATATAATTTTACAATGTTAAAGTTAAAACCTTTCTTTTTACTTAAATAGAAAAGGGGAGGTGATGGAGTCCCCTCTGTGTGCTGTGATTACCATTAATGAATAAAGAAACTGCTTTGGACCTACAACAGGGCAGAACTTAGGAAGGCAGGGAAAACTAAGCTGAATGCTCAGAGAAACAAGGGCAGAGCCAGAGAGAAGCCATGGAGCTGCTGGAGACAGACGCTGGGAAGTTTACCCAGTAAGCCACAGCCGCGTGGCAATATGCAGATTAATAGAAATGGGTTAATTTAATATGTAAGAGTGAGCCAATAAGAAGCTAGAGCTAATGGGGCAAGCAGTGATTTAATTAATACAGTTTCTGTGTGATTATTTTGGGGCTAAGTGGCTGGGAACCAACAAGCAGCCTCCTTACTACACATAAAATAAATACTAATGTAGTAACTCCTCATGTCTAAGCGAAAAGAGAGAGAGAGAGAGAGAGAAAACTTTTGAAGGGATGGAAAAATGGCTCAGTTGTTAAAATCTCTTGCTTCTCTTACAGAAGACCTTGATTCCCAGCATTCATATTTGCCTCACAACCATATATAACTGCAGTTCCTGGGAATTCAGTGCCTTCTTATATCCACAGGCACCAAGCACACATACAGTGCACATATGTGCATGAAGACAAAAACCTCATACACATAAAATAAAAATAAAACAGCTTAAAGTTTAAATACAGGCAAACTATAATAATCCATTTAGATCTATGCCATTGTTAATATACTTTCTAGTAAAAGGAAGCTAGAGATTTGCATTGCCATCAGTATGACATTGTCATCTGTGCAGGAAAACATTGTAATAAAATGTTTAGGGAAAACTTGTTCAAATTGTTTAATAAATCAATGTTTTTCATCCTTATAAAATATCTGATTATTATATCTCAATTGTATTCTCTTCAATTCTAATTTATGAAGAATTGATAGTTTATGTATGCACATTTTCTTTTAGGTTTAAGGTCATATAATTAAATTAAAGGTATATGCATCTGTTTTATAATATTTCATCTATTTCTATGTATATGAAACTAAAAGAATAATATCAGACAATTTTCTTATGTGTCTATTATCTTCTTAATATTCTTAAGAAGAAATATTCTACATTGACCAAGGATTCTTAATTCTTAGGATATGACTGTACAAATTGCAGTGAATGGGCCTGAAACGATTTTTGAGATGCTCAAAATTAATGTAAACTTTGTGTGCACTGTGTGACTCCATGGTGAATAGATCTGAAACTTGCCTCAAGGTTGAGATCAGTAGTATAAAATCACAACTGAATGTCAGTGGAGAAGTGGAGCACACACTTTATGATGTGGTATCTGGTTTTATATTCCAAGTTGTCCACATGACAGGACTATTTTCCCCCTAAGTCACTAAATATAGTTGAGCCTCAATTTCACAACCTATAAAATAAAGAAAACAAGACCTACTTTACATATAATCTTTTCATGAAGTTAATGAAGGCTAAAGACCAGATTTCTGGCAATGTATTGAGATTCTCACTGGATTTATGAATTGTGTCATCTTTTGAGTAAAGATATCCCACAATTTGAGCATCTTTATAACCTAGAAAATTGGATCCTTCTTTTATTCATTTAAGAATTTATATGGAAGAAAAAATTAAAATTACATCTAAAGCTCTGGTAATACGTCAGAAAACAACAAACATTTGATGAGTGTTCATTATCATCCTCATTATCATGTGCATAGGAAATCTGCTTTCATTTATTGTTCAATTGCTGTGTCCAAATGATTTTTTTCATTTCTTCAGTAGTGTGGGTTAGGAATATTTAAAGGGAAGCTTAATGTGCCAGCAAAGTCACCTTGATGTATTTAGAATTCAATTTGGCATGAAGAAACTAAAGAATTAGACATTTGGTGTAGGTTGATGAAAGAAATAGCTTTTGGGGTTTCACAAAACAATGTTCATAATCTGTTGAAAACGATCAAGATGTTTATTCAGAGAGAACTGTGATATCATGCAGAGAAAAGTGCCTGAGATCCCATACACTTGTCAGCTGGCAGATGCAAGAGCAAATGAGAATTCACCAAAATTATACAAATTGTATTACCTACACAGAAGCAGCCAAATTGTTAAGAATTTAACTATTTACAAAAATGGTCATGCAATAGTCTGAGTATAGGTATTGGAATTTGGAGCATAGGATACCAGCTATTTTACGTATACACATTCATATATCAACTTGCAATTCATAATAAAAGTGTTATCATACTTTCCAAAACTTTATCTAGAACTCAGAAACATCTCTAAAAATTATAATTATATGAAGAATTATAAATATTAATGGATTATGATAAAACTCCACTTGAGGGGGTTCAAATTAATATATATATACATATATATACTAGTTGTAAATAAAATTTACTCATCAGAATGATGTAATTTATATTATCAATAATAGGTGATTGAATATTATCTACCACCAAATTACTGACTCAGTATGGAAATATTCCCTATAATTTAAAATAAAAAGAATTTGAATATGGCACAGTTGCTTAGTGCAATGCCTTAAATCCCAGGAAATTTGTAAATTAATGTTAGCAAAAGATATATGTGAGTTATGTGTGCATAATATAGATGTACGTGGTGTAATGTAAAATTCTATTCGGAGAAAACTGTTTGTCTTGTACTTGAGTCAGTCACGAATCAGCTAGGGAACAGTATGCGTGTGGAAATTATTTAGTTCCGTTTTGCACAATAATAATAGCAAAGTCTGTAAGGGATTTTCCAAGAGTGGGTTGAATGGCCTCCAATCACAGTGCTATCTCCTGCTTTGCGCTGTGTCCATTTAGCAGGACAGAACTGGTCACCATGTTCTTTGTGTTGCTCTTGAGAGAAGTCATTCTCACGGCAGAAGAGCTGAGAAGGTAGCTGGTTGACCTCTCCGGGTAGGACTTCCTCCTGCAGCAGAGCTGGCTGTTGAAGTGCTTCCTGAAGCTTTCGCTGAGCAGGTAAAGAGCAAAGGGGTTGACACAGGAATTGCTGAAACTCAGAACCCGGGCCACTAAAGTGACTATCATGTGACCCAGAGAAGGGTCGATTTCCTTGTAGTTGAAAGACCTGTACAAGTAAAGGACGTGGTTGGGAAACCAGCAGAAAACAAAGCAGGCCACGAAAACGAGCACGATCTTAGCCAGGCGTTTCCGGGTCTCCATCTGGGAACAGAAGCAGAGATGCCCATTGGACAAATGGAAAGAGAGGCCGCCACAGCCCAAACTCACCACCCTGAAGCAAGGAACCTTATCAGTGCTTTTGGTGAAACCCAAACCCACACATTGTTTCTTTCCCTCATCAAGTGATTGCTCTAACCACTGGACCAAGACTATTTTGTTTACCACATTATTTTCTTTGAAAAATATTTAGCAATTCTACAAGGTCAGATGATAAATTATGCATGGCAATCTTCATATAAAAGTAGTAATATTAATGAACTCCTTAAGGTATTATCCTTTTACTTAGAGTAGGGCCATGTTAGTAAAAATGTAAAATATTTTATTTATATTAAATATACTAAATTGTTTAAACATATAACACACACAAGTGCATATATTTTCCAAGTATCAGGGTATTTTAAACAAGAAAAAAAATGACTTATTAAAACAGAATTTGACTATTTTTCTTATAGGTCTCACTATTTCTTCTCTCTCTCTCTCTCTCTCTCTCTCTCTCACACACACACACACACACACACACATCAGATAACTCAGATAATAATCAAAATTTTCTGGAACTGGAGAGGTGGCTTAGTGGATAAATCCTTATAATTTTAAACCTAATGAACTGAATTCAATACTCGGGGCCCATATGGTAGAAAAGGAGAAATAACTCCAGGAAGCGGTCCTCAAATTTTCATCCACTCACCATGGGCTGAATGTATAAGTATGCACACACATATAAACAGATAGAGGATGGATAAATAATAGACACATAGATGGATGAATATAGATGACAGACATATAAACAGATAGATGATATAGATAGATAAATAGGTAGATAGATAGATAGACAGACAGATAAAATGATTTTTAAACTTATGATGTAACTATCAACCCAACTAATTTTATTAAACTGGATTATATTTTAGGTTTCTTTTTCATAAAATTTATGCTATGCTTACTATTTTTTAAAAAAAAACTTCAGGTTTGTAATAAATAGAATTCAAAGTCAGACATTTAATATTTTAACTTAAGAATTCTTCTATAAAATATAGAGTATAAAATTTAGACCTTATTTCCCAATTTGCTTAACTATTTAAGGATAACAGTGTGAATAGGGACACAGTTCATCAGAAGACACTGAAAACAGTCTTTACATTTTGTGAGACGAAGACTTTGGTCAGCAGCTAGAATATTTAAGAAAAATAAAGGAATTTCTAAAAGCTGAAGCATACATGGCTGACACTGAGAAATGGAAGGCTGATGTAGGAGTATCTTCTGCCTATGGATTACTTTCATTGGTTAAATAAAGAGACTGCCTTGGCCTAGTTGATAGGGTGAACTCAGGTAGGTGGGGAAGACAGAACAGAATGCTAGGAGGAAGAAGGCCGTGTGACAGATGCCATGTCTCTCCTCTCTGAGATGGACGCTGGTTAGACTCATGCTGGTAAGACACAGTCCAGTGGCAATACACATTAATAGAAATGGGTTAATTAAGATGTGAGAGTTAGCCAATATGAGACTAGAAATAATTGGCCAGGCAGTGTTTAAATGAATATAGTTTCCCTGGAGTTATTTCGGGTAAAGCTAGCCAGGCAACCAGGAGCCAGGTGGGACAAAAAGTAGCCCACCACTCCTTTTACTGCAGAAGGCAGTGGTCCTACTGCTGCATCTTGGTGCCCTAAGTTAGACAATGCAACCATTTTAGGAAGTATGAATATGGAGTTTAGAATCCTCATGGTGTCCCCCCTAGTTAACACAGCATGGGTGTGAAACTTCCCTGCCTTTCTGAAACTGGAGACTCAAGTTCTAGAAAGTTGGGCTTTGAGATGATATGTTGGAAAATGTCAAGAATCAGGTAACCAATCATGGTTTATAAATCTCCAAGGGGAGATTTACAAAAATAAGGCAGAACTAGCAGCATTTAAAAAAAAGAAAGCTGTGGGTATTTGAAGAATTCAACTTAAAGGAAATCAAAAATCAAAACTCAAACATCCAAATGTGATACAACTTAGATTACAGAACTAGTTAGATTGTGTGTGTGTGTGTGTGTGTATGTGTGTGTGTGTGTGTGTGTAGTTATATAAAGAAAAGGACACAATGAACCTGTTGCATAGATTTTTTTTTGCCTCCATGGTTCCAGATACTTAAATAATGAATGATTCGTTTGTTTGAAACATTTGTTCAATATCTGAATCTCTAAAATGAATGTCGACTCTTCACATTGATAATTAATGAACGTTGCTCTTCCCCATGGAAACCTCTGCCAGCTCCTGCTGCTGATTGGTGACTCAAGGCTCCATTCTCTCAGTCCATCAACATCTACCACCAATTCCAGTTATCTCAGATTAAGTTTGTCTTCAAATTAGCAACAAGCAGCCATTGCCTCCCTGTAGCATGTTCTGGCCCATTCCCATGTGCATGTGAATATGTGTGTGTATACGCACTTGTGTGTAGAAACCAGAAGCTGACTGTGTATTCCACTATCACACTCTACTTTGTTTTGGGGGGCTGGTTCTCTCGTTGAACCCTTTGTACAGATAGTAGACTAACTGGCCAGGGAATTTCCTGTCTTCACATTTCCTCTTCTTGCTGTTAGTAATGGCACATGCTGGACATTTTTACATGGCTTCAGGGGACTGAACTCAGTTCTCACACTACTAAGCAGGTTCTTTATCAACATAACTGTCACCAAGCACAGGGACATTAGTTTCTACTGATAACATTCCAATTCTTGTCAGAGGCTCAGATATCTGATAAATGGGATCCAGGTAACTTCCATTTATATGCGACAAAAACACATACAAGAAACTCTCCAAGAATTCTTCAGGTAAAGGAAGTGAAAGCCCATAGGCTGTCTTTATATTTCACAGGATTAACAACCCATAAAATAACACACACATACACACACACACACACACACACACACATACACACACACACACAGATCCTGACCCAACTTACCTGCTTTTTGGTATGTTCATTGTATTCTCCTGGAAGATTGTGTGCACTTTTAATTAAAGTCTTTGCAATATGATAATAATAAATACTTATAATAACAAGTGGTATGAGGAAATAGACAAGAAAAATGAGCACTGAGTGAATCTTTGGATGCAGCTCATCTGTTTGCGGGTAAGGTATGCATGCTGTGAAACTGCTGTTATCCAAGCTACCAATTCGTGCTATTTCCGAAAATACAGCTTCTGGGACAGCCAACAACACAGAGACCACCCAGATGCCCACAGCCTTCACACTGGTCCACAGCACCACGCCAGAAGTCTGCATGTCCATGGGGTTCACAATAGCTCTGTACCTAGGACAAGAGACTCAAGTTACTCTCTAGGAAAAAACTCTCTAGCAGGGAGGGAAAGAAGAAAGAAATGGAGAATAAAAGAAAGAAAAGAAAAAGAAGGGAAGGAGAAAGAGAAGGAGGGAAGAGGGGAATAAATTTCTCTGAAAGTAGAGGTACCAATACTTTGTTTTATCCTAGCTGCTTTCTAATGTATGGAAGATACAAACTCCCTGGCAACTCAGTGTCTCCAATTCATTCCAGGCCTTCTTGGCACAGAGCACAAGCAGAGAGAGGAAAATATTTTAAAGTAGAATCTCCTAAGCAGTAATGATTGACTCTTTCACAATGATGCTTTCTTCAATCAATGCACAGTACATGTATCATTTCTCAATGAATTTGATAAGCTATTCTATTTTTACATAAATGTGTTCATTTTCAAACTGTCATTATAATGGCTAGCTAAGGGAAATAACTGAGTTACAAAGGAATGCAGTTAAATTCTACCTTGATGCTTGTCTCATAACTTCAGAGTTTGAGACTTTCCACATTTTTCCTTAACGTTTTCCCAATCAATAAACCTCAGATACGAGTCCAGAGTGGGATTTTTCTCCACAGTACAATTGAAAGAACTGAACATTGAAGACTATTCTGTTTTTATAGGCCTATTTTGTTTTGTTAGACAATATAGAAGTCTATTCTCGCACCTTTTGTATCTTAGTGGCAATGTGTAGTCATGACAGGTAGGAAAGGACTCATATTTGAAGACAGCCTGCTCAGCCCAAGCAGCCCACCCTGATGGCTATCATAAAGAACCAAACTGCTTTCTGACCAGCTGCTAGCATCTATTCTCCAAGGCAACCTGGCAGTTTGTTCTTACCAACGCTTTTCTTTCTACCCAGAGGTAGTGGTTTCACTGTGCCTTCACTTACTGAACATAAACACTATCTTCTTCTGGGTCCTTCTGGAGTTGTTTTTGCAATGACCCTACTCTAAAGACCTCATCACCTCCTAAAGGTTCTAGTACCTGCTACCATTCTTTTGTGGGAAAAGATTTCAGTTTATGGATTTTAGGATGACACAAACCTTCAGATTATAATATGCCCTTCAGATCTAGAAACTTAAAGGGTAATAAAATATATGAACTGTTCATTGTGGTAAGATTACTAGCAGTAGGCCAAAATTCATTTAAGAAAATAAATCTAGCTGGAGAGTAGGGTGAAGATGAGGATGACTTTTTCAGCAAGGATAATTCTTGTCACCTTCTGCAAGAAATATATCTCAGGAAATCTATAAATAATGCACAACTGAATGAAAAGGCAATAGTATGAATTCTATAAACAAGGAAATACACTATAAAAACAACAGGTTACAAAAGCTGTCAGAACTGTAACATATCTTACAACTGTAAGTGAGTGTTCGTTTCTTTGCTTTGTTTTGTTTGTTTGTTTTTTGTGGGGAAGGAGGGAGTACTTTACATCATGCATGTAAAGTAAGCATTATGCCACTGAGCTATAGATACAACTCTGAAAAATATTAATGCTGCAAGTATATCTTTGGAAAAATATAAAGTGATAAAGTCCTCTAATGCATATTAAAGTGGGCATGTTTTATCATGCTTTCTTCAAATATTTACATAAAACATGAGAAAGATGTCCCTCAGCATAAAACCTATTTAATTAAACTCAGCAGCATGGCAGATATGTGTAAAATGTTACATTTTCCCTTACAAATAGTCTCAGAGAGATATTCCTAACTGAAAAGTAAATTAAAGAATAACCAATCAATAGACAGCCATAGAGAAATATAATCATCATCCATATATTAAACTTTAGTGAACGATTTCTTCATCAATTTGAATCTCATTTATGATATCTGTATGTAGTATAAACTTAATGTAATTATAAAGTTGAGTTTAATCATAATATAAAATAAAAATAGATCTCTTTTTCTTCTTGCAAAAGTCATCAGAACATCTCAAAAAAATCTTTGTTTCTTTGAGCATTTCTCGTTAAACTACTGTCTTTTATGTTATTGGACATTATTGTGCAGCAAGAATGCCATAGATTAACAAAAGAAAGGCTATTGCTCACTGCTGCTTCACGAGAACATGGTAAAATGTCCAGAGCACAAAGTGTGTTCTCAGTAAATGGTTATTGGTCTTAGTATTAAGGACATCATTAATGAAAATCAATCGTGGTAAGTGGAACTGTTAAATAGAGGGTTGGTACAGGAACTGTACAGTGGAGACTGTCTAGTAATGTTCAGTGTGCATCAAACTTCAGATTCACCTAGAAAAGAGGGGTAGGAAAAGAAGGATAAATTAAGTTTGTACAAAGACTGAGTGACAGAGTCCCTAGGACTTGCATTGAGAGATTTTGCCTTTACTTTACTAATATTTTTCAAGTCTGCACATAGATTATGCTTAGAAACAATTAGCAGTGGGCATCATTGCCTCAGGCTTCCTGCAAGCTTTCCAGGGCAGTGGGTTCACATGCACAGTGGATTTCTGGGAACAACAGGAGTTCAGTATTTCGAGGATCAGTTGCCTTCTCTGAAGGTAATAGTCTTGATTTTATATTAGGTAAACACTACCTTAGGAGCATAAGTTTTGTGGTATGTTGTCATCCTTCTCCAGGTAAAATCTGTGTTTAAAAAGGCTGCAATGAGGACCCAGATGCCGTAAAATCCAGGCTGGCACATTCCCATCTTACTTACCATGTGTGTCACAAGTAAACAAATAATACATAGCTATAACTGAATTGTGAAAACAGTATTGATTTTCAAGAATAACACAGCACATTTTAAGTCAATGGTGCTACTTCTAATGAGAAGGGAAATGGAGTGATCTAGCAGTGATTGAAATCAATTGAGCAAAAGACATAATATACTACAGTCACATATAGTATAGCATGCTTTATTTAATACAAATGTAACAAATTCGGTTACAGAAATAGCAGCTCATTCTGTAACTATGGCTCTGTAAAAAAAATCACAGCTGGTTTCTTACTATAAAAGGCAACTTTTTATTTGGATGATGACTAGAAAGTTCTCAAAAAAATTAATTACCTATTGTGAAAGTATGGATCATCCTATTTTTTTTCTTTCATTTTCCCTACACTTGTTTTCCTCCCTTTTGATGCTTGTCATGTTATTGACATTTTTTATTTAAGGTTTGTTGATTTTTCCAAATTGAAAACAGCCAGGGTATTCAATGGTCCAAAAGAGGCAATGCACCAGTCTTTGTGAGCATCATTATATCATTATAATGTGAGCATCATTTTGTCTATATAATTGCTGTGGTATGTATATGATTCCTCTAGAATGTCCTAAAAGCAGGAGAGTCTTCAGTCTTCTGCCTCTGACCAGGGCAAACCTACTTGTTTCCATGACAATAGATTGGAAAACTTGTGTGGGAAATAAACTCAAGTATTGCTATTAATGCCATACTTTAAAAATGAATGCTTTGTGTCAGGTTCACCTATTGTGATGGCTAATTACTGTGTTTTGTTCTAATTAAGTTTGTTAACTTAACAGTCTGATTAAAATAGGTCACCCAAAGAAGAGCAACCAAGCACAAATGTCAATTTTAGCATTGAAGTTCAAATAAAACTTTTGAAAAGATAATAGAACTGGTGCCAAAAAGACAAAATGAGGGTCATAAATTATTTAAAATTTTAATCACTTTTCCAGTAGCAATTTGAAATAATATACAATATAAACTGAGTATCTACTTGACAACAGCATCAAAAAGACTCTCCACTGAATATTTTCTTACGTCCAACATATATTAGTTCTTTTATTCCAAATTAGTATAAAAAAGTATATCTAAGCCCCAGAATCTCAGATCCTGAATCATTAATAATTCAATATGCAAATTAATAAGGATAGCAAATAGCATTCTTATAGCCAAGTTAATTTGTTTAGCTAAATAACTTCAGTCTGTCCTTCATTCTCAAGAGACCGCAGCTCCTATTTACAAACATTGCCCCCAGACAACCATTTAGACATTCCCGCCTACATAAAAGACCTGAAAGTCTGATGCAGACAGCCCAGGAGAACAGTCCTAGCCTCCATTCCCACCTACATCAAGTAAGCCTGGATTTTCCTCCCAGGAATCACAGCAGGACTTACGTTCTCTGAGCTTCAACATCCACACATGGAAAATGACAAAGTTGACCAACTGCTCTGCCAAGTAGAACAATGAGTGTTTGCACTGCTAGATTTGATAATGAAGGCTGTGCCCCTAGCATTGTTTGAAGACAATAAAATTTAGCATTATCGGGGGAGGGGAATCCCTTGATTTCAACAAGAACTAGAAGAATTTAAGGTTTTCAAACAGGAAGATATGAGAGCCTATTTTTAAAGAACACTTATAATTCTAATTGTTTTCAGTTAGACAAATAATATTTACTTCACATTGTAAATGGTACACAAACTAAACGGAGCAGTTTCCACAAGTTGAACTTAGTGTTCTGACATGAGAGAATATCACCCTACTGAATCAGGAAAGAGCTTGCTCAAGTTTAGACACACAGAGAAATAAATTTAGAAAAAAAAATCCAGAAGACAACTGAACTTTAACTCGTTTTTGCTATAGATCTTCTATGAAGTGCGTAGTAAGGTTTCCAAAGTGTATGGGAGAATGTAGGCACTAGCGTGTGCGAGTTTAAAGTTAGCGAAATTTTAACTAGTAATTAAATAGTTTGTATATATTTTTAAACTTCACTTCTCATTTCTTTTTTAACTCGAGTTACTAAGCTTTATTACATATATACGCTTTCCTTTCCCCATCTCCAACCCCAACCTATCTTAACATTTATTGCTTGGATGGCACATCCCAATTCCCAATCATCCTGGGCCCCTATCCCTGCCCATCAATGTTCTAGTTTATCCTTTTGCTCCCTATATTCTTACCTGTCAGCACTGAGGGCGGTGAGTGTGAACACAGAAACCCCCACCGAGGTGAGTTGGATGGCGGGGATGAGTTTGCAGCCCAGCTTGCCGAACACCCACTCATCAAAAAAGTAGCGGGAGGCGTCCACTGGAACGCAGGTCAGCAGCAGCAGCAGGTCTCCAGCCGCCAGGTTAGAAATGAAGATGTTAGGGACGCTCCTCATGGCGCTGTTTGTGAGGAATATCTTCACCAGCATGATGTTGCCCAGCAAACCCACCGTAATGATGATTAGGTAGAGGGACGGGATCACACAGCGGATCACCAACTCCGCGGTGGTCCCGTCTGAGCCCGGCAGGAAATCTTTTTCCCACACCTCGGGAACCAGCTCGCTCTCATTCGCCTCCGTGGGCAAAGAGAGGTTGGAAAGAGAGCTGGGCGGCATGATCTCTTTTTCCAAGGAACCCGCAGGAGTTTTCATGCACTCGAGTGTCTCGAAAAGTGCAACAAGCACGAAGTGGGTTCAACTGATTTGCTTCTAATCCTAGCAAGTTTGTGACTCCTGGGACTGAGCCACCGCGCTGGCCCTCAGAGAAGTCTGCGCGCTGCGCTCCGGAGCTTCTACCTAGGAGAGATTCCCTTCACTACTGCAGGTTTGCGATTTAAACTCAAACAAAAAGCAAGGCAGTTGAGGCTTTATTCCTCGTCTTTACGACTTAGTTCCCGCTATTATTAACAAGCGGGAGAACAGAGGTCAGTCCCAGTGGGACCAAGAACCCTACCTGCCCCACTGGTCCACCCCAGGACCGGAAGTCACCCAGGAGCTGTCCAGCCGGCGGCAACTGAAACGCGGGCACTAACGCGGGCCTTTTGTGCTCACCCCACAGCTTTGCTCTTCTCTCTGCTGTTCCTGTTGTACTGCTGTGTGGAACTGAAGGGGAGTTGGGCTTTTTGGTTTTTGGTTTTTTTGTTTTCATTCTGCGTCCCCATATACATCCATCCTCAACCGACGCCGAGCCCACGCAGGAAGTTTGTGAGCCTCTGAGGATCCAAAATCTGAGCTGGCAAGTCCCTAGTGCTGAAATACTGAATTTAGCAAGCCAGCCAGGGACAATTAAGTCAACGAGAGAACTGTTCTCCATTCTATTCTATCATCCTCTGACCACCCCTCACCCCAAATCAGGAAACTCCCACAGCTGGTGTATTTTTAACTTATATTTTATTGGGATATGGCGTGCATAAAATGCATATCTATAGGTGCATGCTTTACTATCAGAACAAGCAACCTGGTAGAAAGCACCACTATGCCTGCCTTCACATTAGTTGATTCTCTCTTGAGGATCGCAGTAACAGAACTTTACAGAATACAATCATTTAACTTCTTCCCTCATTATATCTGGGGGAGCTATTCAAGCTCTGTGAGGAGCACGTGTGTTGTGGTTGCCTTTTATAAACATACAGCTGTTACCTATCCATTCTCATGTTCACTAACATTTGGAAGTTTCACAACTATAGCCAGGTATTTGTTTGTTTGCTCGCTCGCTTGCTTGCTTCTTTGGTTTGGCTTTTTGAGACAGGGTTTCTCTGTGAAACAGTCTTGACTGTCCTGGAACTCACTTTTTTAGACCAGAATGGCCTCGAACTCACAGAGATCTGCCTACCTCTGTCTCAGGAGTGCTGGGATTGAAGGTGTGTGCCACCACTGCCTGGCTAACTTTAACTGATTTAAATAAAGTTTCTATACATATTTTGCACATGTAGTGCAAGACAAGTAGCCTGAATTCATCCCCGGAAGCCACATATGGTGTGGAAGGAGAGAAGCAACTGAAATGTGCAGTCTCTCATACCTCATGTTCTGGTGCACACACTTGGATAAATTCCAGGCTTGAATTTTCAGGTCTCAGAGCTTATGTTCACATGTGGTAAAATTTAGAGTTTTTTTGATGTGGATTACCAATTTGTTGTTTCTTCTTATATTAGTGTGATATTAATACTATATGTGTCTCTGCATATATGTGCATATATATGTGCATCCATATATATATTGCTAATGTATATATGTATATATATATTGCTCATAAATGTAGACAATTAAAATCTGATATATTCATTTTCTGAAGCATGATGTTCTATTGGTGCGGGAGAATTGTCTGTATTCTCTTAATCATGTTTTAAATAAACGCTGATTGGCCAGGCAGGAGGTGTAGGCGAGAGAACCAGACAGGAAGTGGAAATAATGCAAGGAGAGCAGGAGAATTCTGGGGAGGAGGAAGCTGATTCCTCCCACTCCTGCCCAGATCACCGAAGCAGCAGGTTGTGATCTGCCCCACTGAAAAAGGTACTTAGCCACATGGCTAACATAGATTAGAAAAATGGGTTAATTAAGATGTGAGAGTTAGCCAGTAAGAAGCCTAACCTAAAGGGCCAATCAGCTTTATAACTTACGGAGTCCTCTGTGTAATTTTCTCTGGGACTAAACGGCTGGGGGACCTGGCAGGACAGAAGCCCCCAAATGAGCAGGCCCCATCATGTTACAGAATGGCGCCCACGTGGATAACTGCATCCACAGAAAGCCTGAGAAAGCTTGGGAAAGACTAGAGTAAAGCATTTTGGTTTTCAGCTGTAGCAGGAAAAAAGCTGCTCTGTTTTAAAATATCGGCTTTCTGGGCCGTCCTGCCAGGGAAAACTCTGACTCTTTCAAGCAGGCAGTCCAGACTATGGAAACACTGTTGCAGCTTGCTTCCTGGCAAGGACCTTGAAACGCCTTAAGAGCTTTTGACTGTTGTTTTCTCCATATTCCTTAGCAAATTAAAGACCCATGTTGTCAGAAAAGGAGAGATATACAGTAAAGAGATTCAAAGAGTAAGAAAACCTCTAAATGGTTTACATTGTGTTAAAAATATATACAGGCTAAAGGTTAAAGTTCTCAGAGTAAAAAAAAAAAAAACGAAAAAGAAAAAAGAAAGAACGAGTAGCCTGGGAGGCAGAGACAGACGGATCTCTGGGAGTTCAAAGTTAGCCTGGTCTACGGAGGGAGTTCCAGGACAAAGATATACAGAGAACTTGTCTCAAAAAGCCAAAAGTTAAAAGTAAAAATAAAAGAAATAGAGGTTAAAATAAAGCCACGTAAAGATGAAAAATACACAGAGAATCTTGATACTGTATGCTGTTATGCTGTCTTTAAATTGTTTAAATGCTGAGGAAGGAGCAACAGCTGATGAAAGATATTTGCTTATAAATGCTGCAGAATTAATCCAAGAAAGGTATTTTGAAAATACCTTGGCTTCAAAATTGAAGTCAAAAGGTATGTTACTTTGGAGAAGAGATTTTGCTTTTGTTTCCACAGAAAACGAGAGGCTCTGGATTTATTCAGAGTTAAGAAAAATCATCTTTGACCAAGGGAGACCACCTGAGAAATCGCCGGCAGGAACAGATGGCCTGATATCAGAGTTCTTCATACAGAACAGGTTCAAGACTGCTGCCTGAGATGATCCAGACTCACAGGATACTTCAGTCAGGACTTGATCATAACTCTAAGTTTTCTTTAGGTCCCCGTAGATTATCAGCGCCCCCAACCAGCTGGAAGTAGTCTGGAATACTATGCCCACATTGCCAAAAATGGACTATGAATATTTTCCTTTGTTTTTCTTAAAAAAAAAAAAGAGGGGGAAGTGGTGTGGGAGAATTGTCTGTATTCTGTCAATCATGTTTTAAATAAACGCTGATTGGCCAGGCAGGAGGTGTAGGCGAGAAAAGCAGACAGGAAGTGGGCAAGGAGAGCAGGAGAATTCTGGGGAGGAGGAAGCTGATTCCTCGCACTCCTGCCCAGATCACGAAAGCATCAGGATGTGAGCTGCCCCAACTGAAAAAGGTACTGAACCACATGGCTAAATAGATCAGAAAAATGGGTTAATCAAGATGTGAGAGTTAGCTAATAAGTAGCCTGACCAAATGGGCCAATCAGCATTATAACTTATAGAGATCTGTGTGGTTGATTTTCTCTGGGGCTTGCCGGCTGTGGGGTACCAGGCGGGGACAGAAAACACAAACAAGCAGGACCCCCTCATGTTATTCTATGTCACTCAGAGTCGTCTTGAGGTCTTGGTCTCAAGTGACTCTATTGCTTCAGTTTCTCAAGAATATGGAACTCTAGAACTTAACTCTGCACCCACATTGACAGGTTCACAATCTGTAAATAGAGAAACAATAGTTTCCAGAATCAAAGCCACCATCAGAATTTTACAAAGAAAAGACTGCTCAGGGCCAGTCAGTTGGCTCAATGCATAAAGCAGCTGCAGTGAGAGACAGGCAGCCTGAGTTCATCCCTGGAGGCCACATATGGTACAGAAGGAGAGAAGCAACTGGAATGTGCAGTCTCTAACCACCTCATGCATACTGCAGCAACCCAAACACATTCACAACACATTCACAAACACATAATAATGATCATAAATTAAATTTTATAAAACTGTCCAGATATAATGGCTCCAAAATTAGAGAAATAACACTCTTGTCATTGGGTGAAATGTGTGTCTGGGTTTGAGTGCAAGAAGATAAAGTTTAACAGTTATAAGTCTGTCAAGAAGCACCTTTACAGATTGAGTTATGAGCTGATAAAAATGTGTACAGGAGCAAAGACACTTGTCAATTAAGCAGCTTTTCAGACATCGCCTACCGAATAAGACCTCACACAGCAAGGTGGATATTGGAATTGTAATCAGTTTTTTCTAACTAAGTTTTGAGTCTGTGTTGTACTCTTGAATTTCACTGCTTAGTCCATTGCCAAGTTTAGATTGGTCAAGTGGAATTTTCATGTCCATTTCTTTGAATAAATGAATATTGCTTTTATGTTGGCCCATTTTACTTTTGCAACATAGCTATAATTACTTATGAATTGTAGTACTCTAAAAATTTTATCTTCAAGGTTAGTTTCTCTTATAGCATTAAACCGCATTATGCAAGGTAAATTTTTTAAAAAATCTATACCCTTGGAGGTCTCAAACTTCCAGGCTCAAAGTATCCTATTTTATTGATTTTTATGTTTAGTGTTTTCCCTTGCAATAAAATTGTTTCACTTCTTTTCTCTAGTTGCTCCCATGCCCCTCTCAGGCTGGTAGTATTTTTATTTTACTATGTTTTTTACATATGTGTCTGTGCATGTGTAAATATATCTGCTGAATCTCTTTTTCTTGTTTGTGTGCATATGGTTTCAAGGCTGACCACTCTGTGTAGGAAAATCTGCAAGGGGGCTCAACCCTGAAAGAGGCTAATTGGTTGCCGGCAGTTCTTCACGTAGGGGTAAGACCCCCATGAGATAGATCCCCTTTCACTAATGTGGACACGTATACTAATACTGCCGTATTGCTAGTACTATTTATGCAGGATTTTAAGGATCCAGTGCTTAACAGAAGATTCTCTGATAGTCTGGCTTTTATAATCTCTATGGCCCTTCTTCCTCGATGTCCACTATGCCACAGATGCAGGAGCTGTGGTGTTGGTGTGTCCATT